GAAACATGATTAGTAAATTAGTATATGTTCGAGAACTGATTGAGAAGTTGATCTGATGATCATGTGCCGTGTTCTACCTTGCTTCTCACACGGAAGTGTGAGAAGCGTGGCTACTTGGATCACATGGGGGAGTGTAATGCAAAATATTAGTTTAAATATGAAACAACATTCAGGAATGCAAAAGCTGCAATTGGCAATTAGGTCTTTAAAATTGAAGAAACTATGAGGTCCATGAAAAGTGAACAAGTTAAGTTTAACAAATTAGAGGAAGAAACTCAAATAGATAAATAGCGAGAACAAAGAGTACAAAATCATTGAACTAGACAAGTGAGGAAGCTGTAGGTTCATTGACTTCCTTGCACCAAATGTCATAAATCTGACACCCAATCCCCTCAGCAGCCCTCCTCCATCCGTGGATTGCAGTAAAAATTATTCGAATTAAGTGATCGAAATCTAAACCATGTCATAAAGCAGTCAGTGATACTGGAAACCGTATTATTTGTCCATCTATGATATACTCCCACCAACTTTGAAAATATCCATTTTCTTCCAAAAGTATCAATTCCCTAAACACCAAAAAATTGAAGGCAAAGCAAGAATTCAAAAACCAATAACCAAGTTTGACAAAATCCTTATCTCTACAAACATAAATCAAAGAACCTAAGGGTAGCAGCAAAGAGAGCAAAGGCTCAGACTTGAAACAGAGGACAGAGGGCTCCATAATTTTTCTTCAAACAAAGTAATTGCATTTTCCATACATAATTAAACAACACCCAATTGTCAAGAAATAAACCCATAAATAAAAATATCAAAAGAAAATTCCTTACTATCAGTTGCCGGGGAGACAGTCTGTGGCGTTCAACGAGCTGCACTCGTCCTAGAATTGAACCCTATACAAGGAGAAGAACGCAACTCTCTAATCGGTACCGCGCGTCCTCGTCTGAAAGCGCCTTGTCCAGCTTAGCAAATGGAAGGTCTGAGGGCGTAGCAAGTAACTTTCTAATTCTTATTTGCAACAAAAGAGACACTCAGGCAGGTACAATAAAGAAAAATTAGCTTATTTCACTGCCTGCTCTTCCTCCTCTATTGCTCCACTCAACTCTGCCCCATGTAGCATCAGCTTTAATTCATCTTCACTAACATAAGGTTCACTAATTTAAAGAGAAAACATGAAAAACATTACTAAAGCAGTCAATACAAACTTACACTAACAAACAACTGGAAACAAGAAATGCAACAGACAAAATGGAGGATCTGATTTCCTTATTCCCATTGATAAATGAGTGACAACTCTTCCCACTAGATGTAGTATCAAGGAGACCCATGCCACTGGCCTGACCTAATGACACAGCAAATGGCATTAGCCAAATAATTTTAGTTTGCTAGCAGTCATCAGCTAAGTAGAAAAGAGTTAAATAGCAACATAGACCATGGAGTTTTAAACAGAAAGTTAAAGTTAGTTGCACGATCAAGAAGAAAATGGAAACTTAAATGGAAAACTTACCACAAATCTAGCCACCTCTGTGGGATTGTGAACAGCTATACTTTTTGGAGTGATCTAAGTAAGAAGCAAAATAGCAACCTATGATCATTCAGAAAAAGTTCAATGCTTATGATTTCTTTCGATCTTTTATCTTCGCTTTTCTTTTTTCTCTTTCTTTTTTTTCTTTTTGAAAAAGGCAAGCTTTTCCATTGCATGAAAACAAAATATCTACAATAATCACCTAGGCATATCTGGGTTTAACATATCACCTAATACTCAAAATTGCAATGGCAAAAAGTAAGAAATTCATTTTTTTTCTTCTTTATTTAACAAAGGTGCTATGCCTTTCAGTGTGCACAGATACATATAGACCGGAAACAAATTCATTTAGGAGAAAAGGAAACAAAAAGTATAAGAAGATCCAAGATCATTAGTCGTTGCTCTGTAGGATAGCTTTAGATTAATAATTTCATAAGTGAGTTGAAAAAACAGAGAAAAAGGGGAAAAAAAAAAAACAATGGTAAAAATGGAAAACCCCCCTTGAAGGAAATAAGCTAAGCCTGTCATGTACGATATACAAGACATTGTTTTGATTTACTAGTAAAACATCAACTCCTTTACCAATAATATAAAGAGAGAAATATATGCAAATTAATCTACTATATAAAGAATGATTGGTGCCCAAAGGTTTGGATACCCACAATATCAAAAAATAAAATAAAACAAACAAAATAAAGAATGACCAGCAGGCAAGAGTTGAAATGCAAGTATCTAGGTCGTAGAAAGTCCTAGAGCCACCTAAAATACTAAATCTGGAACTCAAAGACCCTATGGTCACAAAAGATCCAGCTCATTTACCATTACCACCTTCAATTTGTCATAGAGGTAGAGGGAAAAAGGAAAAAGAAAGACAAATAACCACACCACCCACGTTTTGATTATTCTGCAATCTATTAGAGTTGCCCAACATGATTTCTAATTCATTCTTTTTTTATTGTTTACAAAGAAAGTACAAAATTTTATAACAGTGAACTCTATGACTCAAGAGCTAATTTAAAGAGATTTATCTTGAAAAAAATTTAAGCCTTATAAAAAATTTACCATTATCAACTTCTCTCATAATTTTGGTTTAACAACATGGTGTTAAAAATATTAATCAAAGTAGTTAATAAAAAGAAAATAAAAAATAAAAAATTGTAACTTTTAGGACCAAACTGAAGAAATCAAAACTATGAGAATCAAAAGTGTCAATTGATGAAAGATGAGAGACCAGAACAGTTTTCCAATGAAGCACCAAAATTGCATATTGGTCCAAAATCTCCGACACGAGCTCTGTGTCCACTATACAGTGAAGGTGTCAGTACTTCCTTTGAAGTGTCGACACCCTGTGTGATTTTCAGCGAGTCAGAGTCACTTTTTTATTTTGGCGCAGGTTCCAGGTCTATTCTATTCTAAAATCTTATATCTAAAATACTCTTCCGGAACCGGATAAAAATTGATAAGAGCTTTTTGGAGGCTTTTGCCACCGTTTTGGAGCACTCTACAAAACCAAGTTAGAGGCGA